TAAGTTAGCAGCTACGCATAGAAGGCGATAGGTTTGACGCAGAGCACCATAGGCATCCCGGGCCTCCATCACATTAGGTAACAGTGGTGTACCAGACAAATGTTTTGTCAAGTCACACCCTGTCCATATCTGTCGTTATTATTCAGAACATGGCTGGGCGAAAAGAGCTCTGCAAGGCAGAGGGGCTTCCGGCATGCATAGTACATTTTCTATGAACCTTGAGTAATTCATTCATCGTGAAAGAGTTCTTTCTTTCCAGGGCCACCTGGCGCACCTCGTCATTATTGATCCGATGTTCCCACCAGACCCAACAAATGAATTGGAGACGCCAACGGCCAAACTCAGACATAATTCGTGTATCCTATGCGCACACAGACCACGTTTGCGATCCGTTAAGCGGTATGGATCGTACTGCAACAGTGGGAACCTTGACTCTGATAGCAATCTGACGCCACATTGGCGCCACTGGTTGATTGCAATTTGCCATCAAAGTTTCTAACAACAGGCAGAGTAAGAAAATAACCAAAGTAAAACGTTTAAAAATCGGTGCTTGTCTCACTGTAAAGACATGGTCGATTAAGCTTGGGCCAGTGAGAATCCAGCGTGGCACTCACTATTCTGCGTCCCTCGATAATCGATTTATGTGCGCAAATAGTGTCAGATGGCACATTATAGGAAACGGGTATTAGATAAGGCAATGATGGTCTTCGCACGACGTTCTTTTATCATTTGTGTCGACTGGAGTCACGGTCAAGCAGCATCATTCGGTATGTATTTCATTTTCGTTCTAATTATCCATCATAACAATCGAACTGTGGGGTTTAAAACGTCCGGAGTGGTAGGCGTTTGAGAAGTGATATCCCACACCGGATTTCTATTACTGACGGCGGACTAGTGTTGATATTTCATTCAGGCCTCCTCTGGGTTCTTCCAGTGGGTATGCTAAAATTGACCAGCTGAGATGTCATTTGAAGTTTTCAGCCCGTAAATCAAGACGACGATTTTGTAACTGGATAACCGTTCCGTAGTTTTTCGTATTTCGTTTTACCCACTCTTGAATTTTACTGATCGGTTGATTGAATAAACTGAAGTAGGGCGCATATGTTTCGTGAAGCGGAAGACTTCTCCAACTCCCGGGCCTTCGTAATCAACCAGAGTTTTCTGTCATTCTTCAAGCTCCTAATCAAGCGGCTTTTGAGAGATTTGCATGTGGCATCAGTCTCTGGTTGATTGTCTGGCTTCTCTACCAGAAATAAGACATACCGACGTTGACGGTATCCATCATTTATTGAGTGGACAAACAGTTTTGAAAGATGAGAACATAACTTCCTTAACACGCTCAAATTCATTCACCAAGCGGTCTATGACATGCGCATGATTGTGCGTTTCCCGTAGCTTCCGTGCCATAACAGCTCCTTACGCTGTACCTATCGAAACTTTTCAAAGTTGTTAAAAGTAGTTACTCCGTTTTGGCGAGTGTAATATTGACAAAATAATTCTCACACATTGTCATGGTCAGAGTCAAGTTATTTACCCAAGAAGAGATAAAAACTTAAGTTTAAGTTCACCGCCCTACATCGGTAACTAATAGATACTTGGTTTATTTGGGCCCAAGGCCCACTGGCGGTTGCTGGCCCACAAGCAACTGAATGCGAGCCTCTGTGCTAGATGTTTGTGTAACACTTGTAAACTGCTCTTTTTCATGCTCAGTATCATCTTCTTTTTCCCCATCATTATCAGTCACAACGCTGTACAAAAGTCTCAAAGTCACGTTGGAGCCAACAAGCGGGCGGTAGCGGTTGTATTTCAGTAAAACAAACTTTTGTACAGCGATGTGACTGATAATGATGGGGAAAAAGAAGATGATACTGAGCACGAAAAGGAGCAGTTTACAAGTGCTACATTTGTATTGGCAAGGAACAGGCGGTGATTGGCGCACAACTGGAGGAGTTACACTCACTATCCGTACGCCGGGCAGTGACCAAATATCCAATATCTTTTTCTTCTTCCAGGTTTAGTTCTCCAACCAGGGCATTCATAGCATCCGCCAATATAAATATATCCATTCTTCTAGCTGAAAGAAGTAGCTGCGACATGTAATGGAAAAAACACGTCTTTCCTAGACCTCGAACTGCAGAGTGTTTAGGCGCACGCTGATACGAAAAATGGGCACCGTTTAACGCATCGACCTGCGATGGTCTCAAATGAGCCAGAAAACCACAGAGCTCGCAGACGGATGTTAAACAAGATCCAGTCTAGTAAGGCGCTTTCGGCAGTGGGGTTGAGTGCAACTCCTACATCATACATAACACGAGCCATATCTTCAGAGTCACTGAATACACGAAGTGTGAAATCTGAAATATCTGATCCTGTCCCGAGTAGCCTGAAGTGAGCGAATGGGGTGGGGTCTTGTACGCCTGTTTCGGAGAAACGCAATATATCGCACAAAAGTTTAAGCAAGAAATGCCTGTTGTCCCATTCGGTATAAAAACGGACATTAAAGGCTGCAAAGTGTTTCGGACCTTTGAAGACAGGACGCGGTTCATTTTAAGTTGATGGTTTAGACAGGAGGCAGTGACTAGTGGACTAACAGATGGGTTGAAGGTACTGGACTACTCGATGATTCGGTTGCAAAAAGCTGCAGGGGCTTATGTCATTGTCCGGTTACCCAGGCCAAAGAAGAGGGTTTGGTTGAGATACATCACCTCGAGGCTCGAATCGAAAGTCAGACTCATAAGGCAGGGAGAGCATATGACGTTTTGTCCAAGGACAGTGAACCTAGTCTTCCATTCAGAAGTCTGGATCATGAGACAGCGGTTTTGACATTTTTCTGCAGGGACTCTTCTCCTGGCCGAAGAACAACATGGTCTAACTCACTTGGCCCCAAGGGCATGGTCTATTCTGTTGACTGAGGGAGTAAGCCCTTGTTGGCCTGATGCGGCTTCACACAATGAGTGCCTTTTGAAAACCACCAGACTCTGGTTTTAAAAAGATTCCAACCGTAATGGATAATCCGGCGGTAATCACGATTAGGGTTTTTGGCACTCAGGTTGTGCGGCTTTTAGGGCCAGCGTTTTCCAACTCGTCATTCTTCTGAGGAAGTTGGCTTACATGAATATGGAGATTTTGGTTGGCTGAAGGAAATGCTTTACTAACTTTACACTGCTATCGCATAGAACAGTGCGCCTTCACTTCCAGAACGCCCCGTATTTCGGCTTTGCTCAGTATGAGCAGTTGGTTTTCTTTATCAAACTGTTTGAGGTTGGCCATCCTGATGTTGCTGAACCCTGTGGAACTGAGTTCTAGTATGCACGAATCCTCATTGCAACACTGATCCCCAACTACCATGGCAAAGCGATAGTTTTCGGTCGACACTGTGAAAATTTCCCGAACAGTTGTGTTTATGCTATAAAGTTCAGAATGTGGCCACCAAGCTATGGATTTCAAAAACTCTAGGGAAAAACGCTATTCTCCACACTCGCAACGCCTCCATCACTATGAACCTTAGATGGTGGTGTAGGGAAGATTTCGGCAGTTTATTTGGGATTTCTAGGCTGAAAAGCGGCAGTTGCCTCAACGTTATTGGGAATAATCATCAGTGAACACTTCATGAAACCTTTGACTGCTCTGTTCCCACGAACCAGTTAGAAACCAAACCATTTGTGACTGCACTTTGTTGAACGACTCACTGTTCAAACCAGCAACCGTGCGGTCGCGGTTTTATGTGTCTCCAGAGTTTTCTGAGGTTAGTACTGACGATTATTCCGATTACAAATGAAACGGATATGCACTGCTCCTTGGCTTTTCGGTATGAACTGGCTTATAAGGGAAACCTTCTTTATACGATTTATGACATGCGATTCTATTCTTAAGTGCAGTTATTAGCTTCTGAAAGGTACTATGCAGCGATCCTTACCCGCAAAGTCTAGACACGCAGACAAACCCACTTGTTAACAAACGTATTACTAATGACAAAGGTGAACCCTTTTTAACCCACTGCGTCATCTCCAGCGCTGACAGCTAAAACATCTGGCGCTTTGAGATTCATCTTAGGCATGGAACAAGGATGATGGTGGTGGTAATCAGCATCCATAGCGCCGGTCACTTTCGTGTTTATAGCAGAGGGAGCTCATTCACAATTTGCGGTCGTGATCGCAAGAGTATAATCCATTCATGTGAAATCTCCATCCACATGGAATGAAGCGCCTTCGCGTCAGCAATGGTGACAGCCTTGAGAGTAAACCGATTATTATGCTCGTAATTGGCGACGCCTGAATAACTTCCCACATACAACCTAGGTCCCTGTTTTTAGCTTTATTGGCGCCTGAAAAGAGGTCTAATAATCTCGATAGAAACCTCCACGCTACTCAAATTTTTTCTGGTACTAGTGACCCTGACCCTGACTTTTGTACAAAGCTTGAATATAGCCATTGCCTTTACCTTAACGATAGACATACCCGGTCTGAGCAGCAAGCCTGAGTGTGGGCGAAACGAACGTTCTTGAGCAACAGTGAAAAATGCGGGTGAGTGGGGGCTGAGTAATCACATAGACGTCAGCGGTAACAAGGCGCTGTCATTTACTGCTAGGTTGGCTCTGCAGATAAACTCACAAGCAAGACTGAGGGTGGGTATTTTGGCGTCCTCTAGCCGATTTGGATCCTGAAATGACTCGTCTTGGTGACCGCTGCCAACTTCAAATCAGAACGCATGAGCAGGGGGCTATTCTACGTCATGACGCTATGAAACAGCCTTCGTCAACGGCTGTACGGTGTCTCAGGAGTCATGCTAACTATGATTTTCTCTTGGATCGTAATATCAAGACTGGACAGCTTACCCGTGAGTGTCTTCCCTAATGGTCCTCATGATGGTAGCACGCGGTTGGTCGGATAGTCTCAGCACTTAACCTCAAATACCAAATGCATATGAGAATGCGATGCTTCGTTTTGGTATAAAGCTACCAACGCATCAAACAGTTCACAACTGGTAGAAGAACAATAAGTAATGCAGCGAGAAGCCAACTTTATGAGTAAAAGAATATCCTGAAAACAATAGCTAAGTTAGTGAACCTAGATTTAGAATCTAATGAAATGCTCCGACATGATGTCCACTAACGTGAGATTACAACTTTTCCGAGATGTGTTTTGCTTCTCGTTTTGCCTAGAGGGAACAGAAGAATGAATAGCCCACTAGGCGAGGTTCAAACCCACCTCTTCAGCGAGATACCCAGTCTCCGTCATAGCTTGTACCTTTTGACAGTATTCTTTTGCTTTGCCCTTGTTCTTCAAGCGTTCATAACATTTTGCTATTAAAAGCTGTGTCTGTATCTGTTGAACAGGCGCCACTGAAATTGATGCGTTTAATGTTCCGATTTGCAGTACAGTTTGATCTTACATTTCTCCGATTTAGTTAGATAGTTTAGCGCCTATTGTGGCTTTTCGTTCAGTCAAACCTAACGTACCTCATCGTACGTTGATCTTGGAGGATTGGTAAAGAAGGCCTTTGCAAAAGCCCTTTTTAGTTCAGACAGATCTGCTACGTGAAAGCACCTGGGAATAAAATATTGACTGCAAATTCGCCTACCATGTTCCCATGGCTTGAAGAGTGACGTCATTTTCCGGTTCTAACTCAAGTGCTTTCTGAACCAACTATATTTTCTTAATTGCTCTATACCTGCCAGAGGTCCCGCATATCATGAGAGCATTTGATTCTTTCATCGATTCCTGATAACAGGGCCAATTCATTGATACAGATTCCTTTCCACTGATTGGATTATTACCTGGGAAAATGAGGCAGAGATCTACCGTAAGACAGTTAGCATGATTCGCGTTTGCCTTTAGTCCTGCGTCAACTTCGTCCAAGGCACGCTGAAAGGTTTTCTGCAGGACATCCTTTGAAGGCTTTTCCGCCAAAGTGGTTGCTTGCAAGATGTTGAAATTAGCGACAAAACTTACTTTGTACGTATATCAAACGCGCTTTTCTCCAAGCAACTTCAGGCACATTTTTAATGGATTTAAGAAGCTCTTCACATGCTTGGTACTTTTTCTCCCTCAGCAACTTGTCTGACTCCGCCAACTTCGCTTCCATTCTTCTACGTTGTGTCAGGTTTCTGAGACTCTTCTGAGGCAGTCTGGATACTATATACCAATTGTAGCTATACTCAGTTGCCTGTGTAGATCAATAATAAGGAGAGAGGTGTCTGCCTAGTGAAGACCTGTTTGCGTGGGTTAAAATTCACTGGTTGATTAGATTGAATACCGTCACCATGGTTTCCGGAAGTTACCATGGCGGGTTCTAAACAATAGTAAATCTTTTTCAGACAGACCAGAGACTGGATTTAATCACAGTGAAGTTTAACGGTGGGTTCGCTTCAATCGTGTTGGTTGAAAAGAGAAGACATTACGGAATGCAAGCATTTTGGTAAAGATACTTTAAATATTAGACAGAAATGCTCACAGTTCAAACAGTACACATAAAAGGTACGCTTAAACAGCCTAAAGAGAACAACACCGTTTGGCCTAACATCGCATCTATTACGGGTGATCCATAAGAGGTGTTTTTATATTTTGGAATGCATTCTGGATCCGTGTTTCGATAGTTCCGTCTCGCCTGTCGTAGGGTTCACGTAACGGGAAAACTAGTGATGTTGCTTGCTGTCAGTAGCTGATTAGCCTGATTTGGGATAAAAATGTGGATGCACGGCGTGGACAGAGGTCAGTAAGACCTCAGCCAGTAGACCGGTCTTTTGACATACAAATAATGGGTATCGGTGAGCTGTCCACAGTAGGTGTCTGTCTGTGTGGTGCATAGGTTTTCCCATTCGACAACAAACAAATTTTTTGTTTGACATCAATTTACCACTGATATTGTTGCCACATGCAGCAAACAACTTGCTCTCATTGTCTATTGTTTGAGGTTAAATATATTTTATATACCAGTCCTACCAAGTAAGTTGCAACACACAGACCTTTCACAATTGATGCATGGCTCCCAGAATTCGACATCTTAACTCAAAAGTCTCTGTTTAAGCCACCACAAAACTTTTCCGGGAAGTGCGCGCATACACTGCTGAGATTAAAAGTTACATGGTAGTACTGTGTCATTTGTGTGCCCTCAAGATGTCCCGACGCGTAGATCACTAGAAAGTTAGTTCCAGACAAAAGAAAACTCTTATAGCATGGACAGCAGAGGGTTACTCAAATCAGCTTTTACCGTAGTACCTCAGTAGGGGGAAGTTCATGTCACACTGGACCATGAGCGAGACGGTATGCAGTTTATGGATTGTAAATGCCGAAACTTTCCTTCACTGCTCATAGCCTCAGGCGTGTTTCGGGGGTCTTTTTTATCCTCTTGCATACTCTCCATTTTCTATTTTAGTAGGAAACTTTGTATGCTGCCGACTGTGATGAGTTACTAGTCTCCGGACGATATAACTACCAGCCATCCATATTTTGGTTTACAGACTGGCTTATATTTTCAAGGAGACCTATTGACTGGATAGTCAACAGTGATAACTTTAAATGACTGGCCGGTATCATGAACCCCTCAATTAAGAAATGATCAGCAGATGTATTCGTGTTGGCATAGATCTGTAAGTGAAGCAGACTCATGCTGAAAATCCGAGAAGCACTGTTCAGCTGTTCCATTCCTATCGAGAATCATCAGCAGTGCCCAACCCATGAAACTCTAGTCTCTGACCCCCCCAGATACAATTGGGAACCTCTTCAATCGTTCGGTGAAGAGCTTCTTTTCAACATAGATTGGTTTCATCTACAGAATGAGACTTGCATCAACAAACTTTCTCACACTACCATCAGATGTATGTATCTTTGTATCATGTAATCCTCATCAGAACTTTGAAATTTTTTCTAAAGCCTTATGTGAGGAACGATGCTACACTGATCTACAATCGCTATTGGGCACGTTTGATGTTTGCTGATAGAAAGCGAAGCTGCACCAAATACTGTCTTTGTTGAAAGTGTTCTTTCTAATCACTTTGATCTCAGTGAAAATCGCTGTAGGATGCTGAACTGTTGAGCTGAATTGTTCTACTGTTTGCGTGACTGGAAATATAGTGGAAGTTGGTGCTTCCAAGCTGCTTCCTTACACAAGCATTTTAATATATTATACTTCTACGGGGAATTTTCTCTGCTTTTTGTGACAAGTATCGTACAACTTGTTTCAAAAAACCTCTAGATTCCCATCTGACAAAGATTACATCTTGTATTCCACTCGTTTTAAAGTAACATGAAAGTCGTTTAAAAGTCAGCTTGAAATCACTTTTTGAAAGAATCCCCATGTAAAATCCTACTTATATAGGCGTAATGCACTACTCATACCGTTGTCAGAAACAAAATAAACGAGAACTTCAGTTCGATTCAAGGTGATTAAAAATCAAATTGGTACGAAAAACGAGTATATTCCCCTAAATTCCTACTCGTTTAGAATTTGACCCATATGCACGTTTATCATAACTCAATCTGTTCTAAAATCCAAGCGTAGTAACTACTGTGACTCCATGGGTAGTGTCTGTTAAAATTTGTTTAGGCTGTCATAGGCAACCACTCTTAGAACCAGAGGGGCTAAAATCAGTACTAATGATACAAAGGGTTTAGTGAATTGTTTATTGCATGAAAAGATTTGGGAGATTTCAGTCAGGCTTTGATCCTGTAGTCGAAGTTATCTCTACCAAAAAAAACGGAGAAGCACTGTGCATCTGTCATCCTTAGTTGGAATCATCACCTCATCAATCCCAAAAAGACTCGAACTAGGCGATCCGAGAGCGAGCGGTTGATCACCATTCGCCCTGAGACTGGTGACCATTATATCCGTTACTTGCTCATAAGTGAAAATAATTCACACGTCGTTTGAAGCATCCATTCGAGGGGCGTTAGCTGACTGACTCGCCAAAAATCGACAATATTTTGTAAATCGAGCAAGTGAAGGATGAGAGCTGCTATATTATTCCAAAGTGAGGGTTCATTACACGGTTGCTTACAAGCTTGTAGTAAAAATGTTTAGTCTCCACTTAACAGCCGGTGAACGATTAGTTTAGGAGGATGACAACAGTGCCAGATTCGGTACCCTCAGCTTTATGGTGACATGGCTAATCACTTCAACAGGGATTCTGTCGTACAGGGGAAAAGTACCAAGTCAGGCATTTTGGCGTGACACTAAGGGAAACCAAGGGATTTTATTGAGATGAGTTTGTTCTCTTCTTTGTGTGCATACTGGCCCTTCTACTGGGGTTTCTAAATATTCCCATGACGTTCACTTGTATGCACTTCCGTTTGTATTGGGAGTTTAATATGGGAGTTTCTAGACAGAAAGTGTGGCTGTTAGGTCATTATGCTCTTTCAATTCAATCCATTTTCGTGATCGAATATAGGAAGTAGTACATAACTGCGTACACTGTGTATACTTGGGTCGAAATAATATGTATGGAACTTGGATTGAACCTGACTTTATTGGGCGATCTTAATTTGTTACCCACATGTCGTACATCCGAAACGTCTATTCTCCCCCTACAAACGAAATGTTCCTTGCTCTATCACGTACATTTTACCATAAAAACCAAAGCCTGTCTACATTGCTTCCTTCAAAAATATATTAATAGGATTAGAGGAAAACTACGAAAGTGAGGGATTTCATAATGGATGAGTGGATGAATGCATCTATTATGGAGACGAGACTGATGTTTGTCAGTTCACAAAGCCTCGGCGTCGGAACTAAATTTCATTGTCCACAAGCACGATTTCAGTGCGGCCTTTCTGATACAAACACTCAGGTTTTCACAGATTTGATAACCAGTGTGATCACAGAATATCAGAGGTTACATCGCTTTGTTGCCTGAAAATTCACACTCAGATTTAACATTCATCTTCCGAGCAACAAATGTAGTTTGAATGGACTGGACCGTTTAAAGTAGACGCTAACATGAGTGTTTGTTAATGAAGATCATTGTGTAATGTCAGCATCGTTTCGTTCAGCTGGGATTGAGTGGTAACTCAGCATTATCGAAAGACAGCTCTAGATGTCCTTCTTTTCAGCGGTTGATGCTTCTTCCGGAAGTATGCAGAATAATAATGAATAAAAGCAAAATTCAACTAAATATCCCAAGAGTCTAGTTAGGTTTCACCGCAAAGAATTTTAATCAGTTTGAGAAAGCCGTATGAAAAAAACCGTGACTAAAACGTTTGATTTTAATGTTTTCATGTCTACGCTCTTTGTCCTGGACATTCTGCTGAGGGTTATGAAACCATCTTGCAGTGTTTCTTTACAACCGTTTTACTTTTAATCATTAATATGGTTATATGTCATTTGAGCACTTCAAGCTATAATTGTTTTCTTTTTGTTCAGATTGATGTCACCCTTAAAAGAGGATGTTGATACATGGCTTGGGTAACCTAGTGGTCTGTTGATATTTCGTCCTTTCAACATAGGTTGCGGTGGGGTACAATTCCGTGTCCCACATCTATCTCTTCGATGAAGGACAGCACCACTTGACGCAGTTCGCGAAAACTAACTAATTTACTGGTGTTCTGGCAAGTAGTATGGTATTCAACAATACTAAGAAGCCGACAAAATTTAATCCCGATAGATATCCCCCCACTGCTGTTCAGGATACGCACCAATAAACTCCATACTGAGAAAACTACTAAAATTCAATTCGTGTCTGGAATTACAGGGTTAATTTTCGTCTGGCCTACTGGGCTAAAATGTTCTGCGCATGGCTTCATGGATTTCCAAGAGACACTGGATATAACATTTTAAATGACAAATTCATCTTTCCAGAGTCAAGCACTACAAACGGCATAGACGGTTGTTTCAACCTCAATGCTCCCATTAGTGAAGATCACATATTGCCCTGAAGACTTAAGACTGAACTATACTGTTAAAAGTGGGCATCACATGTACTGTGGCTGAGGTTAAAATTCATTGACAAACTCATTCGGAGCGCACGAGTGAATCAGCTGACAGCACATAAAACTACACCATTTTTAACACACGTTGGCTATGGAACAGGGCGATGCGGGAACCGTATTATTTGCATAAAACGCGAAACCACGGAAGGCCACGCACTTGGTAGATCGGTGAATGTCAAACTAAGCCGAATGTTTCAAGTTTAG